TCATTCTTAACCATGACGTCCCCACCCCCCCACCGCCTCAGCTTTACCAGAGACTCCTAAACAGGTGTTCCGCGCATGGCCTCCTCTAGCCACGCAGAGCCTCATCTGAGACTTTATAGCTTGTTCACCCTTAGAACCCAAGAATTGATTCCCCTGCATGGACTCTTAGGAACTCCACCCCAAGCTGCCAGAGTGATACTTTAAAACATAATCTTGATTATTTGACTCTCATATTTAAAACTTTGGGTGCCCTTCTTTCTTGATACAGGAATATAGTATAATTTTCTTTTTCCTTTCATTAACTATTTTTCTTTCTTTTCTTTCTTTGAGATAGAATTTTATGTAGCCCAGGCTGACCTTGAACCTCAGACTCACCATCTAGCTGAGGAGTACCACGGATTGCCTCCATCTCCCAAGCTCTGGGTTTCTCAGCAGGCACCACACCTGGGAGTCCAGGTTTCTTCGTCTGAGATGTAAGGTGCCACCATTCTGTGTTTCTCCCTTAGCTGGGTGCTATGGCCATCTTCACCTTGACGCAGTGCTCAGAGGGCTGCTGTATGGCCCTGTCTCTCTTTTCCTCCCTTTCTCTTCCCAGTGTCACCTCTTACGACAGTAGCCACAACAACAAGACTTGACGAGAATGCAGAGTACCCGATAAGGGTGTCCCAGCTCCTGGTTTAACACAGGAGACAAAAAGGAAGGATTCAAAATTCAACAACCAAAGTAATAATTATTTTGATGATGCTTGTTGATAATTTCTTATCTCTTTATGTACATAAATGTGTGTTCTGGGTTACAGACATTTTGTTACTCCTTTTTTGTTTGTTTGTTTGTTTTGTTTTTCAAGGTAGGCTTTCACTGTAGCTTTGGAGCCTGTCCTGGAACTAGCTCTTGTAGACCAGGCTGGCCTCAAACTCACAGAGATCCGCCTGCCTCTGCTTCCCGAGTGCTGGGATTAAAGGTGTGCGCCACCACCGCCCGGCTTTATTATTCTTTTCAGTGATAAAACAGAGGTTCAGATAAATCAAAACACATTTTCCTTCCTTCCTTCCTTCCTTCCTTCCTTCCTTCCTTCCTTCCTTCCCTTTGTCTCTCTTCATTTCCCCATCTCCTTCCTCTGTTCCTTCCATCCCTTTCCCTCCTCTCCCCTCTCTTCCCCTCCTTTTTCCAACCCTTCTCCTCCTCTTTCCATCTCTCCTCTTTTGAGACAGGCTTTCACAACCCAGCATAGACTAGTCTTGAACTCATGATCCTTTTGCCTTAGCCTCCAGTGCTGGGTTCACTAGCATGTGCCACCACGTTCATATTATTCCAGTGTCATTTCAAACTACATTACCTGTAGTTTTAATGACACTTCAAAAGCTCAGAACTGCCCATGTATGCAGAAGTAAGGGATGCTTCTCGCCATTCACGCCTCTCTGGCTGAGTATCACCTTTTCTTTCAGATTCCATTTACTAGGCAAAGATGGAAACAATTGCATTTGACTTAGCACACTCCCAACGCTGACGGGCAGGCCCCAGGCCCCAGTACCACCTAGCCAGACACACTCAGCACACTCCCAACGGTGACGGGCAGGCCCCAGGCCCCAGTACCACCTAGCCAGGCACACTCAGCACACTCCCAACGCTGACGGGCAGGCTCCAGGCCCCAGTACCACCTAGCCAGGCATATTCAGCACACTCACAACGCTGACGGGCAGGCCCCAGGCCACAGTATCACTTAGCCTTGTGCACACCTGCCTAGATATTTCTCAGGATTGTGTCTTGAATGGCATTTCATGCCAGTTGCTTAACAGAGGACCCCTCCTGCTCCTTTATTTGTGTTCAGGGCATCATAGTACAAGGGTTGGTTTATAGGGGTGCTGATCTTCAACCCTCATACCATAGCCCAGTTGAGAGACCTTACCATGAGCCATGCTGCAACCACTGGGAGAACTCACACACCCCAGAGGATGGCCTGGGGAGGAAGCCATGCCCCTTTCTGGGACTCACCATGCCATTTTCCTCCTGTGCTTCCCTGCCTCCTCTTTGCTGATATTATCTGGGTCAGTAGAACTCAGAAAGAAGAGACGATTTCTTTTTTTGCATGGTGCTCCCCTAGCTTCTTTGCAAGATGACCTGGAAAGAAGAGGTAGCACAGGAAGAACAGGAAATGCTGTAAACCTTTGACAAACGCCCTTGACACCGTAGTCCTGATAAAATTCTGCTCTATCTCTTTATTGGTGGTGTTTCCGAACGTCACTCCTTAGTCTTTAAAACTGGACTTCTCAGTACTTGTCTGATAACAGACTGCTGAAGCTTTCAACAGGGCGCAGGGCTGTGTTCCTTTGGTTACAGGGAACCATTATGGCTAGGAAAGTGGGCTGGCCTCCTAGGCAGAGGGGCGGTGAGCTCTGGATCACAGGCGACTTTGGTATTCTCGTCAGTCTTCTTTTCTCTAGGCAGACTCTCACACAGTCCAGGCTACCCTCAGAGCTCAGGGTGACTGAGGATGACCTTGAACTGATCATCTTGTCACCTCCACTTTCCTGGTGCTGGGAGTATGGCTCTCCTGCACTACATCCAGTTCTTTTGGTGCCAATGGTTGAACCCAGGGTCTCATGTATGCTACGCAACCACTCTGTAGATGGAATAGCAGCAGCTTCTTCTCTTTGCTGTTAGGAAAAAGACTTAGGAATTATGACATAGATTAGACATATCTGTTACGTGTGAGGGTATACATGTATGTATGGGTGCACGTGCCTGCCCATGCATCCGTGGAGGCCAGAAGTCGCTGCTGGCTTATGTCTTACTCTATTGCTCTCCACCTTAACTTTTGAGACAGTTTGCTAGAACTGAAGCTGATTGTTTTAGCCAGGCCAGCTGCTCAGCAAGGCCCCTGAAATCTGTCTCTCTGCACTCCTCAGTGTTGGGGTCACAGATATGTGCCACCATTCCAGTCCTTCTCCTGAGTTTTGGGGAGCCTGCCTCATGCTTGCACAGGAAGTACTTTATTCAGGTGGTCGTCACCCCAACCCAAATCAGATACATTTATTGAGCCGGTGTACATGGGAGAAAAGGCTTTTACAGTTACAGGCTCCCTGGGAGTCTGATGCTGTCGGAAGGCAATCAATATCTACTTCATATTTTCTTGACGTTCACTGTTGAGTAGGTAACTCAGTGTCATAAATATGAAGACAGCTTGTGGAAAATAACTTAAAAGATTCATGTGACTGGTCAAAATTTTTAATGTGCTGGTCTTGTGGTATATTATACATGGGACTCTGAATTCAGTGCAGAGTTTGAACTAATACAACCCTTTGTTTTGTTCACATGTAACATGACACAGTGCAAACACCATTGCTTCTAGGATTTCTGCTGAGTGTGACCTCAGATGACAAACTTGTTAAAGAGGAAGCAGGCTGAAATGCAGTGGAGTTGATAAAATGTTTTCTTGGCATGCCAGAAGCCCTGGGTTTGAGCCCCAGCACCATATAAAACCAAGTGTGGTGGTGCACACCTGTAATCTCAGAATGTTAGGGGTGGAGGCTGGTGCACTAGGGGGTGGAGGCTGGTGAACTTGGGGGGTGGAGGCTGGTGCACTTGGGGGGTGGAGGCTAGTGTTTTTGAGGTAGAGGCTGATGCACTTGGGGGATTGAGGCTGATGTACTTAGGGGGAGGCTGGTGCACTTGGGGTGGAGGCTGGTACACCTACAGTCTCAGTGCTTGGGTGGTAGGCACAAGTAAATTAGTTCAAGGGCATCTTCACTTACTTCGCAAGTTTGAGATCATCCTGGGCTACCCGATACTCTGCCTCAAAAAGTAAGAGTGAGAGAATAAGAGTTTCCCAGCACACATGAGGCTTCCCGCTCACATTGCATGTTTGGGGATGGGTATTGTTTGTGTATAGTAAGGATGAATGCCATATCCACAACCACTCAGGGTGCAGCCCTACCATCCAGCACAGGCTCGAAGGCTCTGGCAAACCTGAGCATCTACTTGAATCTGGAGCTGTTTACCGAGTGCTGAGTTTTCACTTGGAGTATTGATAACCATGTCCACCTGCTAAGGGTGCTGTGAGTTCAGACCGCATGGTCAGGATTGGTCTAGGGGAGCTATTCTTGGTGTCCCTATTGCCTTCCACAGCATGTATGAGCAGAAACAGGGTGATTATGGAGGAAAGATGAGGTTACAGAAACAAAACCAGTCTCAACACCAAGGAATCACTTACCCTGTGCTGACTGTCCTTTGGGGAGTCTTAAAAGCTGGCCCACTTGATTTCATCAGGCCCCCTTTCCCTGGCCCCTCAGTGTATTGTGTGACATGTTTATTGGATTGAATAATTTCACTTCAATCAACTGGAGAATTTTGTAACACCCTTTGCGCTACTGAAGATCCTCTGGGGAATTTCAAAACTAGGATTAAGATTTCCTTTAAAATATTAACAAAAAAGTAAATAAATAATCTCGCTCTACTTGACTCAGGCAGAGCCAAGATAACATCCATTAAAAAACTGGTTTTATACAGAGGCTGTAAATCGAGTGCTGTTTAAACCCTCCAATCTTAGTCCTTCCCTCATCTTAGTCCTCCCCCACCCCCGTCAATCCTCCCTAAATAAGCATTGGAAATAAAAACCTGCAATGGGAACCCAAAATAATTGTCTTACTGCACAGATAAGACCTGGGAGAAAGAACAGGACCTGAGTCAGCAATAACCAAGGCCTGTGGGTCATGAGATGTAGCCCTAGGGGTGGGGTGGGGATAACGGAGGCTAGCACTGCCTGGTTTGTGCAGATGCTGGACTTGGGGGGAGGAGAAAGGATAACAGTGATGCCTATAGAAAGTCGGCTTCACTGAACTTGTCCTCACCTCTTCTAGTTTCCTTGTGTGGTGTCTCCAAAGCATAACTGCCAGCTCTTGCATAGAGGTCAAAGCCCTTACCTGACCCACCCTCACCACCTTGACAAGGCGGGGTCTCTTAGACAAGTGTCATGCTTGCCCCTATGCTGTCTTAATGACTGAGGAGTGTTTGAGGGATTTTTTTTTTTACCTGGTTTGACCCCAGTACCTCTGCTTGTATTCTTCTGTTAAGTAAATATTTGTGAGGCTCTTCCAGAAGCCAGGTATTGTGTTAAACCCTGCTGGGAAAGAGAACAAAGGAGACACGGTCTCTGACTTTGTGAGGAGAACAAACAATGAACCGTGTCATTGCAAAGGTGCACCAAGGAGGGGGCATGGCAGGCAGGTCCTGAGGCTGGCCAGAGGTGGCCATGAGATGATGTGGCAGTGGAGTCCAGACGACACAGCAGGGAGGGAATTGGAGAGGCCTCACGATAGTGTTGGACTGCGGGGCCTTGTAAGCATGGGCTTGTCAGACTATGGGCTCCTACTGGAGACAATGAAAGGCTCATGGAAGAACGGAAAAGGAGGCTGGAAGACCCAGAGATAGCTTATAAAGCTATTCATGTTCCTGCTTGTTCACAAATTCTATTATTTTGTGTGTTGTGTGTATGTATGTTTGAGTGTGTGTATGCATGTTTGAATGTGTGTATGCATGTTTGAATATGTGTGTACGCATGTTTGAATGTGTGTGTGCATGTTTGAATGTGTGTATGCATGTTTGAATATGTGTGTACGCATGTTTGAATGTGTGTATATGCATGTTTGAATGTGTGTGTATGCATATTTGAATGTGTATGTGTAAACGAGAGATCAACCAGAGCGCCAGGCCTCAGGTACCAGCCATCTTGGTTTGTCTGAGACAGAGTTTCTCACTGGCCCAGAGCTCACCAGTTAGGTGGGCTACACTGGCTGGTCACAGGGCTCTAGGGATGTGCCCGTCCCCGCCTCTCCAGCACCAGGATTGGAAGCATACACCAGCATGTTTAGCTGTTTTATGTAGGGTCAAAGTCAGCTGCCACATTCTATTCTTCTGACCATCCCTTCCAAGTGCTATGACCAAAGCATCCATTTAGTCTAAGAGAACTTGCCCCAGCTGAAGGCCGACCTCCAATAGGAACACCCCTCTCAGGAGCCCCCAGTCACCTGAAATGGCCTGTTATCGCAGGATATTCCCAGAGACATTTCTTGGCATTCTCCAGAATCACATCAGGGTACATCCTTGTTTCTTACTGACATCCGACAGCCATCACTCCAGCTGGTCACCCTCCTGCCTACCGGGCCTGTCAGCTGACTCAAGCCCTAAGCCTTAGTGTGCAAAGCCATCGTGTTTCCTCAGGGAATTGTTGATTTTTCCCTCAAGCCCTTCTAGAGAGCATTTCTAGCTTCTTGTCAAGGAGAGAGGATGCAACAAATGTCTTGCTATGTCCTGCGTCTCTTGTAGAGAGAAAGCTACACTCCACCAATCACGGCCTCTGTGGGCATCCTAAGCCCTTTAGATTTAAGTATTTTCAGGTCCAATGAAACTCAGCAGGTTTCCCATGGCAGGGAACCAGAACCACAAGGTCTGTTTTGAAGAGAGTTAACGGATGGCATCTGAGCAAAGGACTGGCCACCCACCTGAATGCTGGGATTACAGATAGGCACCGCTATTCCTGGTTTGTGTGGCTCTGGGAGTTGAACACAGCTTGAGCATGCTAAGTGAGCTCTCCACTAAGGGAGCAGCAGCCCAGCTTAGCAGCCCTTTAACTTCCTTTCTTGGTGGCAGCTTGAGGAGGAAATAAAGGCAGAAGGCAGTCTACAGAGCTTATGAAGTGAGGACCTGCCTTTTAAAGCTCATTGCAATCTCTGCCAAACAGGAGAAAGCGGGATGAAGAGCTTTCTTTGACAGTATTTCCTGTGGTCTGGACAGTATTAAGGGCAGCGTTCAGCAGCTACACGGTCTATGGAGGGGCTGCGAGAGAAGACCCTAGCTTTTCTCCTTCTATTTGGCCTCTAAACCCAGCGTTCCACCTTCCCCTATAGAATCACGTCCAGCTGGGGGCCCTTTAAAAATGCTTCAGTCTCCTCAGACTTATCTGTTAGTTTTTCTTCCCCCCCCCCCTTCTTCCGGAATGTTGTGTCCTTCTAGAGAAGTCCTACAATCATTTTCCTTGAACCTGTAAGGACCTTGTTAACGCTGCGATACAGAGTAAACCAAACATTTGTGTAGTGTCTGTCTGCCTGTGAGATAAAGCTGTTCTTCCAATTAAGGTCCTGGAAGACATCAATAGTCTCCTTGTGCTTTAGACGATTCAAGTATTCAGGCAAAGGAGGATGGGGGGGAAGGGGAGAGTAAAAGAGAAGAGAGAAAAGAGAAGGAGGGAGAGTGGGGACAGGAAGGGAGAGAAAGGGGAAGAAAGCAAAGGAGGACAAGAAGAGAAAGTAAGGGAAGAAGAAAGAAGTCTAGATACATAGAGAATGTCAGTTTCCTGAGACTTAAAAAA